TAAACACCGGCACAACTTTTAATTGGTACCAAGGGGCTCTGTAAAAAGCACTTTGTTTTTTCCTTCACCAGAAGCCAAAAGTGCTATTGTATTATGGTGCCAGGCATGAAAAACAAACCCATCTTAACTATTCCCGACATCTGTTACTATTCTGAGTCACAATAATATGCTAAATAAGATGCTAACCACAATTAAAAATTATAGCCTCAACCCATCTCAGTGTCTTCCTAAGCAAGTTTTAGACCTGTGATTGAAAACTACTTCATTAGGTTTAAAAAAACATTTATATTCATTCTATTGTTCACATTTTTAATCAGGGTATTTTCTATACCTCAGAATTTCAGTCTGTAATGAAAAATAGGGTATCAAAAACTCCTAATAAAGCCAGAAAGGATCCAATTGCATTAATTTTTAAATTTCATCTCTTTGAAGCTTCAACATCTATTCCTTTTATGTACGTACAATATGAAGTGTGAATGCATTTCAGAGCACAAAGACAATGTGAATTTATTACAAGATACTGACATAGGTGAAACCTAGGAAGTTATGAAATGTAATCAGAATCCTTCTTTTGGAAGGGGTGACACAACTGACATGTATTAGTTCAAAAGACAATCTGATTGAAGGACCAGGCTCAGGAAGTTGCTGAACAAAAATTAATTTGTACTTGTTACACTGGTTCTTAGAAAAATTCACAGCGGTTCACAAACCATGACTGAGGTGAAGGTTCCTCAGCACAGAGTCTCACACAGCCATCAATTATCAAACTGAGTGAAGAGACACCAGGTCCACTCTCCTCTCTAAGATGAGTTTATCACTGAGAAGCCTTCAAATATCAGCAATTTTAAGGCATCATGCTCTCAGCAGTGCTGCATATAAAGCACCACAAGTCCTCAGGCTGTGGTTTTTGTATCACTGGTATGTGTGCCAAAGATAGAGACACAAAGGTACAAGATAAGGCTCCCCAAAAGTCAGAACTGACTGACTCCAGACCCTCCTTAGTATGCTGTAATGTTATTTCTGCTTGGGTAAAGAGAACTAGATGCATCTTGGATACCTCACCAAGTCATTCCAATGAATTTGAACTGTGGCCACAGACCCAGCTGCTTACAAAGAAGCCATCCCAGCAGTGGTGATCCTGATACAGCTCTATACATTCTACACATCATTCTCTCTGTAAAGTTCCATTTTGGATGGATTAATTTAACACACAAATCACAAACAACTGTGTAGCAGGCAAACAAATTACCACAGACTTGCCTACAAAAGTCACATTAATACATCAGAAAAGCTATAAAGGAGATAATCATCCCCTAAACACACAACATTTGTTAAAGATGTGGCTGATAGCAGAGTTTCTCCTTCAAGGACCATCTCTTCTTCCAGGTCTGCATGAGGTATCTTTTTACTGGAGCAAAAACTTTGTATTTCATTCATACATAGGAGGAGTAGAGGGCTGAAAGACATCAGCTACTTTTGAAGGGAGACGAAAAGAAAAAAAAAATCACACCTCCAAGACAAAATAATAAAAGTTATTAAATGCATACACAGGTTAGCAAACAAGCTAAGATGCTAGTCACAGTGACACAGGCACTGCTTGACTGATTTCTCAATATTCTAGACTTTAGCCCCATCATCACAGATGTCTGACACTTTAAGTGGTAAACAGGAGGAAGTTTAATGCAATGAGCATTGAGCTTAACTCTGACCCTGTTATTTCCCCATTTTTATGAAAACAGACTTTAATGTCACTGATTCACAGTAAAAGTTGACACTAGACACTCAAACAATATTACATGTCTATAGACTGTCAGGCCCGGAAGTTCCAATAAATTATTCACAGTTATCAAGAAGTAACTTTTTAGGCAACAATTCATGTAAAGAATCTATTTATACTTTAAAAGTTTTATTCTGTAGAAGTATTAAGTATTTGAAGACTCTATTTAAAGGTATGTTTAATATTAATAGGTATAAAAACATTTCCTTTGTGACAGCATAGTATTTTGCCATATTATGAAGGATTTTTTTATATTGACTGCTTTTAGATAAATTATTTCAACTTGTGATGAAAATCACCAAAGAGAGAAACAAGAATCAAATCAGGAACCTTAGCTAAGAAGAAAGACTTAGCAGCAAGGAACACAAGCAGATAATTCATGTCATAAGAAATATAATGTAAGTAATTAAACTTCAACAATCCTGAGAGGTGGCAAAGTATCACCCCACCTTATCTACCATGTTAATCATAAACCTGATTTTATGTTGCACTACTGAACAATAATGCAATTACAAACTGCCAGACAAGAGCACCGAGTGCATGCTTTATCAGGGCTGAATGCCATCAGTTCTACACACCGTGCTACTGACAGTGTGTCCTATGCTCTCCGTGTGATTGGACCTCTCGTGCTACCCCTGTATCTTTCAAGTGCCATGCAGTAGAATTCATATCTTTGATGAACAAGCCTCCCACACTCTGTTCAACAATATTAGCAAGTCTTTGGACAAGGAAAGCAAGGATTTCCAGGCTGGTGAATGGGCTTCCTCCTTCCTGCAGCAGGCGCGCTCAGCCATGATTGTACTTGAGGCATGAGAGGAAGAGACAGAAGGGTGAACAAGATGTGGCATCAATATTTACAATGGGTCGTTACTGTGACTGTTCCCTCCCATCTCTCAATACCCATCCATGTCCCAAAATTCACAGGTCTCAGCCACACACAGCTCTGCTGCTTTGCTGGCAGCTGGATGGCAGCTGGGCTGTCAGAGCCAGAGCTGAGGAAAGAGCCAGGTGACAGCACGGCCCCGGGAGGAGGCGAGGACAGAAGTGTGACAAAGGGTGGCTGAGCCCACAGCACAGAATTAGTATCACTGATACTATGACAGCAATGTGCAACAACCAGCGTGCCACAACAATGAGGGCTAATTACAGCACTGCTGCAGGAGTGGTGTCCTGGCCAGCGCTGGCCACACACTGCCAAAGCTATCTGCACCATGCTCACAGTACAAATCCAGGGCTCTTAGAGGAGTTAATGCAAGATACAAACCTCAAATCATTACCCGAGTGAACATGAGGCAGATTCCATGCAGGGAGATCCCTGGAACAGGAGCATTCCCAAACCATTAACACTACCTGCAGAAGACTGTAATCTCAGTGGATGGATTTCTCAATAAAATCATTCCAAATCTACCTTTCACCTCAAATGACAGGGACCTTGATGCTAAAATTATTCCATAGCTATTTAGCATAATCTTACAAAGATTATCTGCTTTCTTTACATCTGTCCTCTCTGTGAGTGTAATCTTCCCATTTTGCTCACTCCACCATAACTTCACCTTGTACAAAGCTGAAACAGGAGATATCCAATCCACATATCATCCAAGATGCCCAGCCATAAATTGCACCAAGAGACATTTAGATAAGATATTAAAAAAAAAAATTACTGACATGGTTATCAAGCATTGGAACAGGTTTCCCAGAGAAGTGGTTGAATCAACAACCCTGGAGATTTTTAAGAGGTGTAGACATGGCACTTGCTTAGTGGTGCATTTAGCAGTACTGGGTTAATAATAGATTATCTGAAAGGTCTTCTCCAACCTAAATAATGCTATTCTATAATTCTATTCAACCTAAATTATTCTATCTTTATTATTCTATCCTAAATTAAACATCTCCTTTGCACCGCTCTCTGTGCAGACCAGGGCATGAAATTCAGACACATGCTCCAAGCCTGATTCTGAACAAACCAAGAGAGTCCTAGGACTAGGAAAACATCCACCTCCCTTACTGTGCCTCCCAGCAAAAAGAAGCATTGCCTCCCCCAGGAAACCCAGGTACAGAACAGGGGACGCTGCAGACACTGCTCGACACACCCAAGGACCTGCTGACTGTTTTTATGAAAATCTATTAACAAGGAGGGTTTAAAGCCTGATTCAATAAAACCACACCAAAACTTAAAGACACTGCAGAGCCCTCTCTTCTATCCACATGACATAGATTTCACCAAGGAATTGCTGGAGGAGACAGGATGACAAAGTCCAAGTTAGCAATAGAAATCTGTTTCATGTTCTGTTTTTGCCTTTTTTTCTAATGAAACTCGAGATAGTTTACTAAGGAGGTAACAGAAAAGGGGATCTTTATTGAGGGCTTTCAGAGGCAGTTATGAAAAGATGTCCACAGAAGCCCAGCCCCACAGGGCTGAGTATATTTTTAGAGGTTTTAGGAAATCAGAATAATTAATAAAAAGCACCAGTTAGAAGGACAAGTGGTGATGCCATTTCCCCCCAGGTCAAGCCCCTTCTCTGGAGTCCCTCCTTTGGCATCAGCTGTACTTTGTCCATGAAATGTATCTCCAAGAGCTGTTCCCAACCTTGGCTCCCTGAAAGAGCCAAGATAGGAGAGGGGCCTTGTGCCCCCTGGGGCTGGAGCTCTGGAATTTGTTTTGTCTAGGGAAAGGCCACGGAAAATAACTGGAAAAACCAGCTACTAATACAACAGGCTACAGAGGTACAGATACATGTGCGAAGAACACAGAGAATGTATAAAAGGAAAAAAAAAAAAAAAAGGTAAAAATGAAATGGGTATCACCATCCAGGGAAAAGCTATTTTCCTATTGTGCTCATCCAGGGAAAAGCTATTTCTCCCTGCCCATGGCTGGGGGGGAAGGTGGAATCAGACGGATCTTCAGGGTCCCTCCCAATCCAAACCACTCTGTGATTAAACAAACAAACAAAAATCCCCACGCTGCGCTGTTCGCAGGTACGATGTGTGTGCAGCCGCGGAGCGCAGCCCCTCGCTTTGTGCGGCAATACTTTAAATACCTGCGCTTAACCGGAACACTCACGGCTTGGAATATTTTACCGAGATAAAAGAACCGGCACTCAGCGCTATTTTACAAGCCTGAAGCGAACATTCGTGTCCCGCCCGCGGCCCGAGTGAGGCTGATGACAGAGGAAAGCGCCCCCGCTCCCGAAGGAATCTCCCTCCCCCCGCAGCCGGCTCCCACCTGCTGCCTCAGGTAGCGCGTCTGGTAGGGCCCGGAGGGCA